TGCATGTGGTTCATACAGACTCTGTACTCGTATTTTTGCTAAAAATATTCTTCAGCCTCCATTGTCTGTGAGCCTTTCAGATGAACCATGGACTGGTGGCCCTTGCAAGGTAAGAACTGGGAGTTCAGGTGTAAATCCTCCTCGTCTCCTACCTTTAAATGCAATTCTACTGTTGTATCTGAAATTTTATGTTCCAGGACACACAAGACATCCAGTACAAGGTGTTCAGGAATTTACCTACAAAGATCAGCTCACAAACAAAACTGTTTTATTTTTTCTTTTCAAAAGCAAAATAATTAGACTAGACAGGGAACAGAGAGACCATCTGTGGTTAATTAAAGGGTGAGACTGCAGAGCAGCAACAGATGTTATATTGCTGTAGTCAGAGGAGTTTATTTCTAATAGTGGAGAATATTGTGTGTGGTGGATTGGGCATTTCCAACCAATTATTTAACAAGCAGACCTCCACAGAGGTCACCCTTTTCTTCTTGGAAAAACGAAAGGTTTGAGTGTCATTAATGTTGCAGGAGTAGTCTAGACAGCAAAGTTTTTTATATCCCGAGATGAGGACTGAAAAGCCAGTGATACCCATCACAAAAAAAATGTATCTAGGGCTGGTGATTTAAAAAGTGGGCAAGGTCTGCATGAAGAAGACATGACAGAAAAGGCCAACATTCCCACAGCTTCACTCAGTTCCTAAAAACCCCCTTTAAAACTAGAGATAAGCACAGGAAGAGGGTTCACGTGGCTGTGTGGATCAGATAGATCCTCTTACTGATGGCATTTGAGTATGGAGTGACTCTGGAGCAGGAAGCTCCTTCCATCTGGGACCATTTCTTCTCCTGAATAACTCCTCAAAGCTGTTTGACACTATCCTGCACCACCAGTCCCAGGGAGAAGTTGTGGTAAACAGAGCAGCACACTGGAGTTTCTGCTGGATAGGTAAACACACCTCACATTGCCTGACGTGACAGGCTCACATCCAGCTGGAGCTGGTAAAGCTTTATACAAGCCATTCCACTCCTCCTTTTTGTTGCTTCCTATTTGCACTGCTCTGATTAGATATGGAGGTTCAAATGTTCCTATTGATGAAGCTCCATGCATACTAGAGTTTGGATCTGGAGTTTTGGTACTAGCTGTAGCACCCAGTGTGGTGTTAGCTACTCACACACACAGACATGCTGCTTTTCATTTGTTTGCCTGTTTAATTGGGGTTTCCACTTTATATCTGGAGTGGTCCAAAATGGCTATGAAATTCTGCACTAAATTTGTATGCAATTCCTTCTCTGCTTACTTTTTTTCCCCTTTTCCCTGCGGAGATTTTAGCTGGTTTTCATTGCTAAAGCAAGGAGTGACAATAGCCCACAGGTTTTGCTACCTTTGTGCCTCTACTTGCATCTCTATTCCCTTGGTCCCTATGGAGCATCCCCATGCACTTCTATTGGAACAGCCATTCTCTGCTTCTGAAGCACAACTTATGGCAAGGGGGAGCTCTGTGGGTGGACTTACAATTATCCTGCTGATAACAAAGGGGGAGATAAAGTCTGGCTTTGTCCAAAAAAGATAAGCTGGAACCTGAGAATGCCCAAATACCTGATCAGTGATCTACAATTACAGCAGCTGATGGGAAGCAGTGTCGGGAGAATCCAGAGGTTGCCATAGAAATACAACAAAGGGTGCAATCCTCAGGGAGTGCACCTGAGTCAGCTATCAAACCAGCAGGAATCCTCAGTGAATGAAACTCTCAAGTTTAAGGGGGAAACAGCAAGTCTATCAGAGATAAAGATAATTGAGCTGCCTGTCCCATTTGTGATATCAAGGGAGATCCCATCTGGACATCAGCCGGGATTGCTGACATACCTCTTTCCCAGCCTTGTTTGGGTGAAATATATAAACCTCAGAAGAACTTGCAGAGCATCAGTGTGCATCTGCTGGCTTCTCTAGTTCCTTGTGCCAGGAAATCAAGAACAACTTTATCATTTTTGGACCACAGTTAGCATTTCAGTTGCTTGTTATGGAAATCCTATGTAACAACAGCCTAATGCACTCAACTTTGGAATAACATTTTTCTGATTGCTTTGGAGTGACTCACAGTTTTTAAAAAGGTATTTCCTGGATGGAGGGAGAGTGTACAAAATGTACAAAATGGTGCTATTTTAAGGAAACCCTTAATTCTGAACATCCTTCATCACTGTGCAACCTGTGTGCAATCCCTTTTTAAATCCATTTCTGCACACCCTCCCACATTCCTGGAAAAAGGTGAGGAAGAATTATGACAAACAAAATTGATATTTTTACTGTTTAGAAAGATATTTTCTCCCCATCAGAGACATTTTGGAGTGAAGAGATGTCCTGGTTTAGGGCAAATTTGGGAGAAAACCTCCAAAAGGGGGCCCCTCCAGAAAGCAAACCCACACGGTTTGGAAGGATTCCCTCCCCCCAACCGGTTCGGGAAGAATTCCTCAGAGAGAAGTGGAAAGAACCTGTTTATTTAACAGGCACAGCATCCCCCAGCACACAAAATGAACAATACTGGATGGCAACACTCTTTCACTGCTCTGCAAAAGGTGACAAATTCAGAAAGTCTCTCTTGGGGGTGGTCACTCTGTTTTCAGTCCCTCTGGTGCTGGGGTAGCTGCTGCGGCCACAAGGTGCAAACTCCCAGTGTTTCCTAGGTCCCAGTCTGGAGCAGGTTCAAGTAGGTCCAAAAAAGGGAAAGGAGAAACAGTCCAGGGAAAATTTGGACTGCTTAGCTAAACTAGCTAATGAGCAGAAGCAAAAAGCAAGAGCAAAGCAGAAGCAAGAGCAAGAGCAAAGTGAAAAGCCAAGCAAAAAGCAAAAGCAGCACTATGTGCTGCCCTGTCTCTGTGTCCCTCCAGCCGTTGGGGAGCGGCTGATAGCAAAACCAAAACAAAACATTCACTCTTCAGAGCCAGTCTTGAAGGCACAGAACATGATATCCAGCATAAACAGACCACATGGATGGGGATACAAGCATCATAACGTCACCTTAGGACAAGAGAATTGATTGAATTTCAAAAAACTAGGGTTGCACAAAACAAGCACAGATACTTTCAAAGCCCCAACAGTTTCAAATTCACAGGTCCAACAGCAGAGCATCCTCTTGGTGTAAAAGAGGGAATAGATGCTATAAATATTGACTCTCTTAATACATTAGACCATGGAATCCCCAACAGGGCTTTGCTGGCATTTTGAAAGTAAAATGAGACAATTTGTTTTTGAGGAGATACCATTCCCTCATTTAAATGTTGATCTTAGAGGGAAGAAATCAAAGGTTATGTCTCAGCCCTGTCACAGGTTTCCGTAAGGGAGCCAAAGACTTAAAAAGCAAACAACAAACAAACAAAAAACTCATTCGATCACCTAAAAAAATTAAAACAAAACAAAACAAAACAAGGAGTTTTGACAGGAAAAAAGAGGAAAACATTTGGAGAGGACTCACTTTTTTTCAACAAAGTTAAACATTTGCAATTTTATTTCAGACAACATTATCTTTTCAAAGTCCATTTCTATGTTGAAGAAATACATAACCCAAAAGTAAATTTTAAAAACGAAACTCCAAGATTTTTTTTTTTTCATTTCAGCCCGCCTGAAACAGTTTTCCCATTTTGAGGTGCCTTAGTTTGGGCACTAAATGAATAATTATTTTTGCACCTCCCTTTATGTACCAAAAGTTGTCACAGAGAAAAATCATCTAAGACATTAGTAAAATTTTGTAAAATTTTAGGCTTCAGATATATATAAAATAACATTATTATGTTAAAGAGAAATCCTGAATAGAATGGCTGAAGCTGAAGTATTTATTTTGGTTTGTATTTTCTCTGGTTTTGAAAGTATTGTTGAGAAGACAAAATGAGAAGAAAACCTTTTGTGCAGACTCTGAATTTCAAGCTGGGTTAGAGACAAAATCAACAGGAAAAGAAACAGATTTTTTAAGTTTAACTTTCATTAATGACAGAGTAAAATTATTCCTTAAATGCTTGTAGGTGAAAGATTGTTTAGTGAACATGTTTACCTTCCAGCAAAATGCAGTTCTGCAAAATATTTTACTTTACAGTAAATCACAACAGCAGCAATTTTGGTTACTTTACATACAGTGTACATGGAGATGCCACGTGATTTACAGGGCTTGATTCCATTCTCACTCCTCAGCTTTGCACTGGTAATTCAGTGGCATGATTCTTCTTGACACTGGCTGAATTCCAAGTCTAAGTGAGAGGAGAATCAAACATGCAAGGTTTGGTTTTTAGCTTTTTGTTCAGGACAATGTGTGCAAAGGAGCTTCCCTGGTTCTGGGAGCTTCAGCCATTCTGATGGCCTCCCTACTCACCAGCATATGCCTTCCAGCTACTGCTAAGCAAAGCACAATATATCCATAGATGCAAGTGCCCAGTGATTTAAATTCCTTCTGTTCCCAAATCTCCCAGAGCCCTGCATGCCCTCCAGAGGTGGCACCCTCTGGCAGTGTAGGTTAGGGAAGCACAGACTCCTTCAGACTCCACATGTTTGCAAACCCTCTGCTGGCATCTGCAGCCCAAGAGACCATGAGGTGTGTGCCCTTTCTCCATGGTCAGTTCTTCTCCAAAGACAGTCCTTCTCCATGGTCAGTCCTTCCCCACAGTCAGTCCAACCTGCCCAAGGATAGAGACTAGAGCAGGAGTGCCCCATCGGGCATCTGCAGGAGGAGGGACGGTTGCCAGGAGAATTCCTGCCAGGAGAATTCCCGCATGCCTTCCCAACTCGCATGCATTGTCAGCTACAGCCCCAGTATAGCCCTTATCTCACAGTGATGAAAACTGGAAATGCTGCAGCCCAGAGGGCATTTAAATTGTAACAGAGCCACTCACATCTGGAGATTCTAAGGAAGCAAAAGAGCTTCCTTTTGCTCCCTGTCCCTTCTCTCCTTCCCTTGTTCTAGGCTCAGTATCACACCATGTAGTAAGCAGAGGCAAGCACAGGCTGTTCCCCTCCCTCAGGAGTCACACCACGGTGTGCTGTGAGCTGAAGGAAGTGAAGCTGCCCTTGGGGCTGCAGTGACACTGGGAGAAGCTGGCAGCCCTGGTCCTTCTGCTTTTGGTCCCGGTCCTGTGCTTCCGCTTGTCGTGTGCAATAAAGCTTTCCAGCAGCTTCAGCTTTTTGTGCTCTTCCTTCAGGAAGAAGTCAACAAGCACGGTCTTCTCCTTTTTGATCTGTTCACTGATGTCCTTGGGGATGTCAGGGATCATCCAGTCAACCAGAACACTGAGGAACATCACCAGGTTCTGCAAGCACAGCAGTAGATGTGAAGCAAGCATGAAAAATCAAAAATACTCACACTGGAGCAAAACCAAACCTTTGTTATAGCTATGAGACAGATGTCAAACACATTTTGCTGGTGGTGTGTGGTATTAAGCAGTTGATTAAGGTTTTATTTCAAGGAGCAGCTCAGGTTTGTGCACAGCTACCCGTCAGTGTAGAGGCTGAATTAAACACGTGCTTCAGTTAGGTTTGAAATAGGAAAGGACATAGAATCATCAATTAATCTATGGCCTTAGTAGCTAAACCAACTTTATTCTTTACAGACATCCAAAGGTGCTCAGTTCTCAACATGCAATTCCTTGGTACTGAGTTCGGAATTCATTAATATAAGGACATCCTCCAATACCATCAAAAATCCTGAAACGCAAGGCAAAGACACCCGTGTGTTTCCAGTATGGCCTGAGCACACAGCAGACAACTTTCATGGCCATTCTGTCCTCGAATCCTTCTGTCTGCTGATAAGCAAGATTTTTTTTTTATACTGCCACACTGTGCAAGCCAAAATCCCAAACCTCAGGTGTCAAGGTGATTACAGGTGCTGCTTATAACATCAAGCAGGAAGCAGACTGGGCAAAAAGTTTTGCTTGCTTGTGAAATCTATAGGAAAGAAATGTTTTGAGGGTTTGTATTGTCATAGTGCTTTGAGAAGAGACTTGTGTAATGCCTGGAAACGTGTGGGAGCAGTTGGCTGACGGGGCTGCTAGCACGAACTCTCCATCCCCATCCAAGACAATGGAGCTAATTAAGCAGGGAATGTTCTCTGGCAGAACAGGCAGAGGGTTTGAAGCCCAGCAGAACCAGTTGCTTTCAAGTGCTTTGCAGCCAGTGGTGGAAAATTACTGAAGGCACGGCAAAGAAGCAGAAGAGGGCAATACAAACCAGGAAAGATTCATAGAAACTTGGGAACACTTGGCAGGTGGGGAAAAAAGAAAGACAGATTTGAAAAAGAGGGATGGGCCCAATTTGGTTGTGGAAGGATCCCAGATCATGGAGGAGGGCAGAAGGAAGCCATTGGAAAGGCAAGCCATGACGGCAAATCCCTTGCTAATGAAATCCTCACACTGGGGACAATTTACTCTGCTCCATTCAAGAGAGTAGAAAAACCTTTCGATGATTTATTACTTCTCTTTATTTCTTGTTTTGGGTAAAGAACAGCCGTTAACAAGCTTACACAGCATTTATGTGCTTTCTACAAGTGGTGCCTCTGAGAGTATGAAAGTTGACAAAGTCCACTTAAACATTCAAAAGCCTGGGGTATTTTGGGGATCACTGCTAACACCAAGGGCTAAGGAAGCTGTGGGTCTCGCTTTCCACGTCTCTTGGACATGGGCTGGTTTGGAACATGCGTTTGGATTCATCTATGATGATATTTCTGTGTCTGAAAGTGAAGCAACTTACCTGAAATAGAATCACAAAAGCCAAGCGAGCAGACAAGACCGCCCAGTACTGCTTAGAAAACTCGTACTGGTGTGGGGACCAAGGTGGTTCTCTGTAGTCTTTGAACCTGGAGATGGAAACAGCTCAGTTATCACAGTTACAGCAATTTCCTCCAGCACCAATTGCTGTGATTAATGCATTTTCCGATCACAAAACTCAAAGAATCAAATCCTCCAGATGTTCCTACTTCAACCCTTATTATGAAATACAACTTCAGAATTAGAGCTGGACTACCTCCACTAAATTTAACACACTCAGTCTGGTTTTCACAGTTGTAACCAAAGTCAGAACATTCTTTTAACTTTTGAAATGTCCATATTTTAGAGGATTGACAGAAGTCCCCTTTATTTTATAATGTAAATTGACATCAATGTACATGGAATAAAATGCTGAAATGAAAACAGAGAGATAGTCCAAGGCATTTTCAGACTGAAGGAGATAAACCTGCATTCATTTCACCTAAAACTTGATTAATTCAGGGAATAATTCAGCCCACCTAAAATGTGACTCATGCTTTGGTGATTCCTGTCTTTGCATTAACGAAAGGGGGAGCCATGGGGAAGGCACTTCCTAAATTAACTGTCTAGCCTTGGACAGGATAAAACAGAGCCTTAGTGGTTTGGTGTAAAGACTGTTGCTTTTAGTATTATCATCAATCATTTGGAAGTAAACAACAGGCTAATAAAAATCACAGATGCTCCTAAATTGGAAAGTTTTGCAAATAGCAGGAAATACAGAAAGCAATGGAGACAGGAAACACAATGAGAATAATATGGGGAAATGGAAAATAATTAAAAATAAAACACTTGAAGGATCTTTGAAGGCATAGTGTTTGAAAGTGGAAATAGCCGGGAGCTTGCAGAGGCCAGCAAGTTAGCACAAGTTTGAAATATGGCAGCAGGACAGTGCATGACTTGTGGGTGTATCAACAAAAGTCACAATGGTGCTGGGGCGGGGAATTAGCCTTCCTCTGAACAGCCCAGGTAAATCCACACCTGGATTACTGCATTCAGCCATTCAGCTGTGCAGATTCCAGAGAGGGGGGGGAAGAAAAAAAAAAGAAAATAAAAAAGGAAACCAAAGAAAAAGACAGCGATGAATTAAAGGTAGTTCAGGAGAACAGTACAAGGGCTGAGGAGATTGACTCATCGAGAAGATTAAAGAGCAGCACATGTATTGCTCCACTTTGGTTAGTAACAGCCACACTTGGACATGATAACCATGCGCAAATTGTGCCCTTAGGACTGAAAGGGATAATTTAGTGCCATTTCCAGTGTTTGACTAGGAGTAATGGGATGAAATTAAGAAAGGGAAAATCTGTTTTGAATACCACAAAACCCATCCTGACAGTAAGATTCATTAGACTGTGCAAAAGCTTCCATTGGGGAATAATGGAGAGGGTTCATATATAAAATCTGTCAGCTTCAGTTTGCAGGTGCGCTTGCCAAAATTACCTTCAGGTTCTACCCACATGGTTTTGCATGTTAAATTACACATTTGCAGTCCATGCATTCCCTACATCCTGCTGTTCCCCACCCCCAAGAAACTGAGTCTGGAATGCTGGATGTCATTCTGTGCTGCAGCTTCTGGAGACAAAGGACATGAGGTACAGCCCATGGGGAGGAGAATACCACTTTAAATTGGGGGCTGTGTTAATTTTGGGAAGAACTCCCTGGGCTGTGTTAGCCCCTGGATGGTTTTGCTCAGCAGTGCATGCACACGTCCTGTCTTAGGATTCCTGTGCTGTTCCTGCACTGCCAGATCCCCCCTCTGGTACTGTTCTGGACATTGTGGACTCCCACATGTTGCTCAAATCTGTACGAGTGCTGCGTCAAGGGCCAAAGTCAGTTCCCTTGAACTTAATCTGCTTGAACATCAAAGCCAAGGAAAGCCACTGAGTTTCTTGTGGACTTTGCTGACCACTATAAATCAATCCCAATCTTGAAATGGAGCCCAGGTTCACCTGGAAGGGTCACCAACTGTGATGGGTTTTCCATTTAATGCATTCTGAGCTTCACAAACTATGTAAGTATTGCAGGACATCAGACCCCTTGGAGATTTCACCTGGCTCAGCTGGGAATCACACTGCTTATGATGCCTGAACCTACACTCAACAGAACACTAGCAAATGATTTATCATGAAGGAAAATGTTGCCAGAGCTATAGATGAGGTAGCTGGGCCTCCTCCCCACCTCCATTTTTAATTATTCTCTGGCACATGGGACTCCAAAGGGCCTTTTCTAACCCCTAGATTCTACAGGTAGTTTATTTTTTACAAAGACCATCTTTTTAGCTCAAGAAGCATTTGGACAATATCCACAGGTGTGATTTTTGGGGTCTTCTGTACAGGATCAGGATTTGATGATCCTTGTGGGTCCCTTCCAACTCAGGATATTCTATGATTCTCTGATTCCCTCACCTCTTCAATGCTTCACTTTTAAAATATTTGATTCAGCAGATATGGTAGGAATAGCAACCAACCAGTGCTGCAAAGACAATTGTGTTTCCAAAATAGCAAGCAACTGTAATTCCACAGAAAAAGGACAAGAATATGAAGTGGTCAATATGGTTGAAGAATAGAGCACAGAAAAGTTATTAGGAAGAATAGAAAAATGTGCACTGAAAGTAGAGAATTGTAGGAGCGGGGAAGCTGGGTGGAAGGAATTGAGGAATTGAAGCTAGAGCTAAGACAATGTAATGTATTTCAGAAGTTTATTGTGTGGGGGGAAAAAAAGACTGGCAAAAAAAAAATCTAACTATGTATATAGGTGGAATTTCAAATCAGTCCAAATAAGCTAATCTGTTTAATTTCCTTCTTCATCTGGCCTTTAGAAGAAATTGGAGAAAACATCCATAATCACAGAATCTTCAGTGCAGGAGTAAAAAAATATTAGTCAGGGAAAAAAGGTAGCATCCACCACTGATCATTAGGAAGAGATGAGATTAATCCCATGACATTAAGAAAATAAATTAAAAAACACTTTAAAAAGTCGTTGAATGTTGGAGCAGACCCATGTTAAAGGAAAAGTCTCTTGAATGACTGCTGCTTCCTTTTTTCAGTGTGACCAGTAGGTTTGTATGTACTCCATCATCATACAAGGCTACAAGGATTAAAAGGGAAAAACCAATAAAAATAACCCATTTGCTACTATTTTGCCTTCAGCTATACAAATTTTTCCCTGAAAGAAAAAAAGTAAAATTACAACTAATACTGTGCATGAGAACAGCTTTACAGCAACCTTTTTTTGGAAGCAGTGCCAAAGACTTCACAGCACTAAAAAAAATGCTGCTCTAAATATTTGAAGAATGTATTCTGTATGTTCAGTGGCAGAGTTGTTTCTGGCTTGTTATGGTTATTTTTAAGATACCTAATCTCTGGCAATGCCCATAAGGAGAAAAGTGCAGCCTCATTACAACCACATTTATCTCCAGAGGTCACAGAAATCTAAGAATAAGAGAGGTCAGCTTGTTCCCAATGCATTTGCCAGAAACAGAAATACAGATTTTATTTCCAGCTTGAGGGGCAGTGTTTGGTTGCCTGTCTCTTGGGACGCAAGTTAGAGACCCCATACTTTATCACAGTGATAGTTATGTCCAAAGCTGAGATTTTGGTAAGATTCAAATGAGGCAGATGATAATGAGAAACAGTGTTTGTGTATGCTGACATATTTTTCGGAGTGTGTCCTGATAAGAGAAATGTTCCCATAGTTCTGTCTTACTCATACTAACACATTAATTTTTTTCCTCTTCTCAGATGGTGTCATCAGGCAGGGACCACTTTTGAACACAGTGTAGATGATTCCCTTCTCCCTGTATTTGGGCTCTGTTGAGTATTTGGCTGTGTATGACCATACCATGTGGAGCACTTTTAACCCTGCTGTTAATGCACGTATTTCCAAACACGCCAGCACTTAAGCATCTATAAACAGAGGCCAGTGGCTGGAACAAGGTAAAAAGCAGCATACTGAAAGTAGCAAAATCACAGTGAAGTGGATCAAGATGCTTGTTGAAAGAAAACACATGCGAATTTCATGTGATGAAAAATTAAAAAGTGCTAGAGTGGAAAAGCATTTCACAGACTTACAGATCTGAAAGTCTGGAGATGCTGCATACTCTAACAGGGAACACTTTGCTAACAAACAAGTCCCAGCTGCAGAAATGGGGAATTGCAGAGCTCACTAGCTTATAAGTTGCTTAAAAGTTAGGAGTGCATTCATCTGTCCTCTGCTGTAGTCAACGTGAGAAGGTAGGTTCCCCACAAAGGCAATCCCAACAGCACTGCCAGAGTGACAGGGACAGATTTCTCTCCCTGTTTACCCTGCTTCCAGTGAAGAAATTGTGATGTGTCATTTTGTGGGTTATAGTTGGGCAAGATATATACCCCACTTAAAATCAGTGTGAAATATATTGCACATCAAAGCAAGGGATGGAAAACCACTCTACATTAAGGCTATCCTTAAATAAATGGAAGAGGAACTTTTATAATTATTTTGTGCCATTGCAGAGACCAAGCACAGGGTGATTTCAAGGGAGTTAAGAAGGAAGGGGAGACAGGCTGTTGAGCTGTAATGCCTTAAACCAGCTCTTTGAATTTCTGTATATTATTACAAAAATACCAAGTTACTTTGAAAGCTGGAACCACATTAGTGATTTCTCATACAAACTGGAACTATTCTATCAGTATCTAGTATTTGGGACATATTTTAAATGAAGTTGAGCCTTTTTTCCCCAATCAGAAAAGATGTATCTGAATTAGAAGACAGGTACATGGTGACTGGTGCAGGTTCTAAAGATAAGCATAATATATTGAAAACTCATATCTCAGCAATTAAGGGCTGAATTTAATAAAGACAGAGAAAGCCTGTCATAAAATAAATAAAATCAGAAAAGAAACTAAAATCTGGTTCAAATTACTGGGTGTCCATTTAAAAAAAAAATCATTATTTTTAATGTATAAAGCTGTATCTGTCAGTAAAGAAAGTGTTAGTTTGCTTTTTTTTCTGTGGATCAAGTCTGTCTAAATTGTATATTTTGCCTTTTAATGCCCTGAAAAAAACCCTTTTAAAGACCTTGTGACACAGTGAAAATTCTCTAAAAGCAGCACTTCCAGAACCACATTTTCAAAGGCACATGAATATTGCTGAATATGTGGCCATATAAGTGAATTTTATCAATTCCCACTTTGAAAAATGACTTAAGAGCCAAGGAAATTCCCTCAACTATGCAAACTGCCCTTACAAGTACTTTACCTGCAGAATGAAACCTCCTGTGCAAACAGGGAGTTTTCTGGCTGTGTCCCAGCCTTGAGCTGGCTGACATTGAAGTATGAGAGGGTGTGATTGATGAAGCCATGCATGGTTCCATTCTGGCTGTATGCATATTGATACATAAGGCGTGGGATGAAATCGGAGGTGACAGCAATGACAAAAGCCTGAGAGATGGAAAAACAAACAAAAAAAACAACAAAAAAAACCAAGCAAACAACAGCATCGTGAATCTGTGTCTCCACGTTAAGCAATTCAGGGGAAAATTTTCATGTTCAGGTAAATTTAGAGTGATGGTGAAGGGAATTATATGGTCAGAATTGGTACAGAATGAAGGGAGAGTTATATTGTGAGAACTGGTACTGAATATTTGCACAGTAATCTGCTCTCTCCAAGGAAAGGCACAGTAATCTGCTCTCTCCAAGGGAAGGCTCAGCTAAGGAAGAGGCAAAAGCAATTAATGGACTGTACATTGCTCCAATTCTTTTCATCTCTGGAGCCATTAGGAGGTTTATCACTAGTTTGAAAAAAACCTACAACAAGACCTAATAGCCAATTGGTATAATTTGGGCTATATTTTGGTGTAGTTACACCAAACCTGTTGAGTGTAAATGTCCATTTTCCCCTCAGCATGAGGATTCACACATCTCACACAGGGGGATCTCATGCCGGTATTAAATCTCGTGAGACTGGTATCCTATAAATCTGGTGTAATTGTGAGGGCAATCAGTCACAGAAATCTCTACATCATATCATTAAGAATCCCTTTGATTTCTGCTCTGGACTCTCTCCTGTTGGAGCAGGTCCAGAGGAGACCATTAATATGGCCAGAGGGCTGAAGGCCCTGTGCTATGGAGACAGGCCAAAAGAATTGGGATTGTTCAGCCTGGAAAAAATAGGATTTAGAAGGAGACTTAGGAGCCCCTTCCAATGCCTGAAGAGACTTCAAGAGACCTGGAGAGGGACTTTTGACAGGGGCCTGGAGTGACACAACAAGGGGTAATGGCTTCACATTGACAGAGAGCAGGTTTAGATTGGATATCGGGAAGAAATTCTTCCCTGTGAGGATGCTGAGTCCCTGGAACAGGTTGCCCAGAGCAGCTGTGGCTGCCTCATTCCTGGAAGTGTCCAAGGCCAGGCTGGATGGGGATGGGAGTAACCTGAGATAGTGGAAGGTGTCCCTGCACATGGCATGGGCCTTGGAATGAGTTGATCTTTGATGTCCCATCCAACCCCAACCATTTTACAATCCTATGATGATTTAAAACTGTATTTTGCTACATAATAATTTCCTGTGTCAATATTATCCAGATGGAGAAACAGAATTGGGCATTCAGTATTTCTTTTTCAAACAGGTATGCACACATTTACATTTCTTTCAAGAAAAGGTATCTAATCATACTTTACTGGAATCCCCAGGAAATAAACACTTCCAGAGTTTGATCAACACAGGAAATAATCAAGGATCATAAATGTGCAAAGTGTATTCAGAGAAAAACAAGAGAGTTTTTCTCCTCCAGCACAGCTCAGTGCTGGACAGCTGAAGTCCATGCCTGGTAGTGAGATTATGGGGATGAGCAGGGTTCCACAGATTTCCTACCTTAATTCCTGGAAACTGGAGAGCAATTAGTGAACAATGTGAACTCCATACAAGTGAAACAACACTACCCTCCGGATGCATTAGAGTGCTGTGCTGTTGTGCTGGGAGCTATTTTATTAAAGAAATTGCATAAAACCTCTCCACAAGTTCTCCCTTCAGTAGTGAAACCACCTCCCTTTCTAAAGAGCTTTGATACCTTTAATATCTCTGGTATTATTCCATGCCCTTAAAGGTATTTTCCAACATAAACGATTCTATAAGATTATGATCCCTAGGCTAAAAACCCACTAGAAACTATTAGGATTAAAGTCCTAGGGCATGAGATGTTTTATCTTAAAGCATATAGAGGAAAATTTTATTTAGGGAATACATATGGCATAATAAACATAATATATCTGTATTCTTTTGTATTGGAGCAATTGAGAAAATTAGATGCCACTTTTAAATTATGTCGAAGCGACAATAAAATATGAACAATTATAAACAATAAATTATAAAGAATTTTAAAATACATTGAAGGAACAGTAGAAGCTCCCAAGACCATGGTTAGAAACTGCTTGAACCAAACACTTACATTAATAATCACTGAAAGCTTTCCAATACCACTCAAGATGTTATACCAAATACCTGTAAGTGAAAGAAAAAACTTATTAATGGGTTCATTATAAATTTTCTTATTTGTTTAATTGTATTTTTGGTCTTATCTTCACTGCAATGCTCTTTCATTACTCACCTATATCTTTTTCTCTCACTGTGTCTGGCCTCCTCAGCTCAGTAACAAATTTTTTTGCATCAAGACGAACCTCGATGATGTTGTTCAGAAGAGCAAAGACAGGGGCCAGAGGGAAGGAGGCAACAAAGAGTGTGACAAAGCCAAACTGGATAACTGGGGGAAAAAGAAAGCCAATGTTTTTTGATAGCTTCTGAAGGGAGCAGCAAATTGTTCATGACCTTTGTGCATTACCAACCCCATAAAATTCCACTTCCCAGTTTGGTCCCAGGAATAAATATCCCAGAGTAGGGCTATGAAGACACAAAAGTTTGTCACTGTGCTTTTTGAATGTTTCCAATAAAGCTTCAAGCTGCTAGCACAAGCACAAACCAAAGGAAACAACAAATTTAATAAAGGACAAAAAGTTCAGAGTCTATCTCTCTGCATTTATATGTAATTAACTGATTAGTCCATGCTGTTTCTTTCCTGTCCTTTCGCCTGTAAGGAAAATGATACACAATCAAGCAAAAGGAGAAAATCTACAAGGCGCTACTATTTCTTCCCAGCTTCTTTTGATAAAGTTGGTGGCAGCCTGTGAAAAGCAAGAACAGAAATGTCTCTGTGGATGCAGAAGCCAGTGGTGTTGTGCAGCACTTTCATGCCTCCTTCTGCAACTGATATCCTCCAAGTTCAGAAATACTCCTCTTTAAAGCAAAACAAAGGTGAATTTTATATAAATATATATTAATATATATATATATTAAAATAAGAAATCTGGCTGTGATCTACATCTCACAGCTAAAAAAAATATTACCATAGAAAAAGTATTGGTGTGTTTCAATGCTCTATTTACTGTGGCTTCTTTTTTGGCAAATCCTTGTATAAGTTCTCTCTCCACTGAGGGAGGAATTGCATTTTTCTGAGAAAATAACACAATATTCTGTGCACATAGGACAATATTATACTTTAAAATATTTTCCTTCAGCATTGTTGTCACAACCTACAACTAACTCTTGAAACAGTTTCCCCCAGGACCTTCTCTCACGTACACCTTTTTTTTGTGTACAAGTCCTCAGATATTTCCCCTCTCTAATCTCAGGAACAATATATTTGCACACGAAAGTAAAATCTCTGTATATCAATTATATGGCCATTAGAGTTTCATTCTTATTGTTTTGTTCTGAATTTAAGTGTATACACTAAGATGGAGCTTTTTCAAAGCATAGAAACATCCTACCATTGAAATCGTACTTTCCTGACTATTTTATGTTCAGAGTCAGGAAAAGAAATTAAGAAGGAAATAAAACCAGATGTTAAAGTAATGTCCCCAAAAACTGTGAAATGCTTAGAAAAATGCATAGCCCCAAAATATGCCTTATTTGGTTCTAAGTGAATTTAGCAGGAATACAGCTGGGAGGATTCTGTAAAAAAATAAAATAAGAAAAAAAAAAAAAAGAAGTATTTGCAATGTTTTAAGAATAAACCACACACGCATTTGCTTTGATGTTGTTTGTGGCCCCTTCATTCATTGTCTGGGAAAATGCAGTTTAATTTTTTTTCAAGTTCATGAAAAAATGTTCAAGGTATGCAAAGGACTTTTGGATAATTGTGTAAATGTGTCTTCATAAAAAACTCTGCGCCAGAAGTGTTTGTGTAGCCATCTTGAAACCTCTTCAACCTTCTCAACTCCTTCTCATGCAAGTGCAAATTATGCAAAAAGCAGGCAGGAAAAGCAATTCCAAAGCCAAACCCAGAATTTAGATGGGGTGTGCAACAAACTAGCAAACAATTATTAAATGGAGGAGTCTTTGAACAGCCTAAGCATTTCACAGATATTTGTAGAGTGTGATCAGTGTTTCTAGAAACAAACCTGAATAAATTACAAAGAGAAGAATCTCTATCCAGATCCCAGAAGGAATCTCATCTCAGCATCCTGGAGTTCTGTGGATGTCTGTCTTTCACAGTGGAAATATTTACAATACTTTTAGGACACTTACACTCTTCCATCAAGTACAGTTGACACCAAGGTGTCCTTTTTTTTGCCAGAAAAACTCGATAGTAACCCTTTTTTATGTTCACATTTCTGACACGTGGTCTCCATACAAAGTTCTTTATGTGTCCACATACAGTGAAAAAGGCTAAGGAGACTTGTGCCAGGAACTGGGCTTCTGGCCATACATCCTGTTTCATCATTTTCCTACCCCCTGGTAGGGCAGCCTGGAGACATGATAGATGAACATTGCCCAGGCTCATGGCACAAGCTGGAAAATACAGCAATTGAAGGCTGGGTATAGTGGAAAGTCAGGGACATGGGAAACATCTTCTCCTGGGGCATCCAAGCAGGACCCTGGATGTGCTGTCACTTGTAAGATCCGTGTCTCTCGGGCTGTTGTTTGAGTCCACTCTGGCTAGCTATGGACCCTGGCCCACACAGTCTTACATGGACGAAAGCAAAAGAACAGAAACGCTCTTCTCCATGTGGGAACAAGTGTCCTGTTTGTAAGCTGGTGAAGGGACACCTCAGACTCTTGCAACCCCCCAGGTAGAAAAGAGGGGGCTTCCTTCTTGCAAGGGACTTTGATACCCAAGGGAATGGAGGCGGGGGAAGAGGACTGTAGCCAGTGGGATACCATTGAGGAGGGGCGAGGGGAGGGGTAACCACCAGGGGTATAGGGCAGAGGGGTGGATGAGTGAGAGACCATGTGATGGGAGAAGGGAAATAACAATCCACATGACATAACATACTCAGTGCAAATTTCAAATCACCCAGTGCAAAACAACAACTAAATAAACTCTTTAGTGCAATACAACATTCACTGAGACAGAGCCTTCATCCTTCTGATGAGGGAAAAAGCCCAAAGCACATGCTGGTGGTGCCTTTACTGAGTTGAGCAGGAAAGAGGCCAAGGCTCAGAGCCAGCCCTTGCGTTTCACAACACCTGATGCCACATGTGCAGCACCTCATCCAGCCCTGGGCCCAAGACAAAAATTCTGAAGGACAAACAGCATCCAAAGAATTGTCTCAGGTCACTTCTCAGAAGTCCACTCTTCACAGAAGCTGTGCAGGGTCTGAGCAGAACCCCAGCCCAACAGCAACACACCCTGTTCCTCTAAGTCTGGGCTCTAAGTTATGACTAAGAGCACAAATCAAAGCTTTTAAATTATGGATCTGGAGGGTGGTGGGTGCTGTTCTTGTGTAAGGGATACAGAATCATTCCCCAGCACAAAACCTTTTATGGTGTGGATCACTACTTCTACAAGATTTGCATGCTCAGTAGTGTGAGTAACCCAAGTATCTTTTACCTCAAAGCCTCACCTAAGACAAGGTATTTATTTACAATTTTATTGGGTTTTTTTTCCTCTCTTCTTCATCAAAAATATCTGTCATAGGATCACATGTTACTGGAAATAAACAGTGGAAAAATCACTTCTGTGCTAAGCAGCTTTCCAAATCCTAGAAAGAAAATTTTCAATATACAGCCAGGCCTGGCTGAAAAACTAAGGAAAAGGGGTAGTTTATAACTCTTCTGTAATAAATGTATGCAACAAGCCTACACAGAACCATCAATGGTATTTTCAAAACCATCATTATAGAGATTATACAAAAATGCAGGTTTCCCTTCAGCAATTATTTTTCTTTTTCTGCCTCACACATTGCCTTTTGATGGCTTTTCCTGCTTTAGGGGAAATTCTTCCAAACCTCTAAGATTAATCCTTATAGTAGTCAGTAGCTACAGACATTGAATCTGATCATTTTCTCCTTGTGCCATTGTTTTTAAACAGAAGTTGGATGATGAAACCTTTTATTATTACTTCTCCTTGAGGAAAAATGTTTTTAATCAATTGCTACATGAAGATTGGACTCCTAGAGGGGTTAGGCTAGAGAAGGGAAGACCAAATGAAACAGGAGTATGAAAATCACTGCTGATTTCAGTTTCTTCTCAAGGAAACATGAGTGGTATAGATTTCAGACATTCATGTGCATCATTTTGCTCTTGGAGCCAATTTAATAAAATTTCTTTCATTAGCAATATTTATTGCTACTCTAAATATCGATTTCTTGCCAACTTCTATCATTGCAGGCCAGTTGCACACATTGCAAACTTGCTGCCATGTGGAAGAGGAAATTGCTGTACATTCTACTGACTTTGGGAATGCACATGGTATGGTATATTGGCCTGGGTCAAAAGTCTTTGCACAGTTTTGGAAGAAGGAAATGCTAAGGACAAATTTGACACATATTGAAAGCGATAATTTATGTTTCAGGATTACTTGAGCAAGATTTTCTGATCACTCAAGCATTTTAAGTGTCTCCACTAAGAAATGCAGGAACACGTCAGTTAATAATATCAAAACAGTCATAGGAATGTCATTGGTGCAAGTCAAATATTTGTGCAGATGTGCTATTGCAGCCAACCCTGCACAACAAAAAAGGTCAGCAGAGTCTGCTGGTGAAATCAGATTCAAAGACTTTTACCCTAAAAATTAATCTTATCCATAGAATCACTTGGGCTGGAAGGGACATTTAAATGTCATCTAGTCCAAACCCATGCAATGAGCAGGGACTTTCAACTAGATCCTGTTGCTCAGAGCTTCATCCAACCTGACCTGGAATGTTTCCAGGGATGGACCATGCACCACCTCTCTGGGCAACCTATGCCAGTGTTTCACCATCCTCATTGTAAAACAAATTCCTTCTTACAGCTAATCTAATTTGTTGGCATGGACTTGAGTGACTGATATTTTGGAGAAAGCAGTTTCAGTAAACAAAGACAGAGTAACCTTTTCCAAATGGGAAAACAGAGGAGGTTAAAAAAATAACCAGTAAATCTTGCTATTTCTATGAACCTACCATGATTTAAATGAGGGCAGGGGTAGGAGAATGAGAAGGTGGAAGTCTCTCTAAGGCTTCAGGATTGTTAGAATAAGAAATAAGAATGAAAAATGAAAGCAGATTGGAAATGGACATCCCAAAATTTAAGTGGGATAGTTATCATCAAAAACTCCTTTACCGGTGGCACATCATGTTGCAAAACACATCCTGAGACTGCTCCAAGCAGTGTCCCTCCGAGAAGTGCTGCCTTAATGGGATTAATTTGTTTCATAATGAAGTGCAAAGAGAATGTGTGATTTGCCATGTGGGCAGTGGGCCAGACTCCAGGTTTTGACAGAAATCAGTAAAAGAGATTGGATATATGGATAAAAAAGGCAAGGACTGCCTGTGATTAGGATACAGCCTAGTGAATGATAGACTTGGAGGCAAAAGTCTTAGCTAAGGATGTCACCCGTCCTTAAAAGTGGGAGCAGGACAAACCTGAATGTAGTGACTACTCACGCTTGGATACATAATCTGCCTGCTTCTGCATGAAACCCCATCACCATCTGTCGCAGACATCTTTTGTGAAAAATCTTTTCTTGGGATTTTTCTCCCTTCTGAGAAGCTGGTGCCTCAGAAACAAGATGTAAACAATGGTTATCTGCTGTTGTGGAAGGCAACAGGTGGATTTTTGATTGGGCCATCTTGAATGTTTATAATTAATGGCCAATCAAGACGGAGCTATCTCAGACAGAGTCCGAGAGAGCTGCTTTTGTTTTCATTCTTTTCTTTTCTATTCTTAGCTTAGCTAGCTTCTGAGAAAACCTGCCCTTCTTTTTCTTTTTAGCATAGTTATAATGTAATATATATATATATATCATAAAATAATAAATCAAGGCTTCTGAACATGGAGTCGACATTCTCGTCTCTTCCCTCATCCAAGAACCCCTGTGAACACAGTCACAACCATCTGCATGGGGAAACCCCAAAAGCAGCAAGCCCCATCTGCAATTCCTCCTTCAGCTGCTTTATTCCAGATTGCCAATGATCCCTGAGGGAGGTTGCCTGAATAAATCAGTGTGAAAACTAAGACACTCTGAAACAGCAGCCAGATTTCTTTTTTTTCCTTAATATCATGCCTCTTCCTGAATTCCAGTAACCCTGCCTCTTTAAGCAATTCAGGAGAAAAAAAAAAATCTTCCTCTGGCCTTCTGCATTGCTTCCTTTCCCACTGTCCTCAACTCAAAGTTAGAGAAATAGATAAATAATCTGCTGAGCGGCCTCTTGCAGCATGATGCCCTTGACAACAATCCCAGCTGACAGGTTCAGTGCTGAGCTGCACCAAGTGCTTCCTGCCAGCATGGGTGGTCTGAGCAGTGGATCTGACAGCTGAGAGCAGGGACATAGACCCAGGGCAGCAAATGGGGCTGGGAGGTGCAGCTTGGCTTTCATCTGCGGAACATTTGTCTGCAGATCCCACAGCCAGGGCACAGCTTGGCAGACTGTGAGGTTTCTCCACTTGGGAAGCTCATCCTCCTATTGTAAACAAATGTTTAGACCAATAATTAATCTCTTAATTTTCCCTGAATCACCCCTGAGTGGCTGCAGGCTGAGGAGCTCACTGTGGTCTATGAACCTGGAACAAGGGACTGATCTAAATGACAGGCTTAGTGTCTAGTGATTTATATCAGTAGCTTAAACCTTGATAGTATAAGTCAGAGCCATGGAATAGAATCCTAGAATATCCCAAGTTGGAAGGGAGCCATCCAAGTCCAACATCTGGCCCTGCACAGGACAGCCCCATATATTCCTGAGAGGAATCCCACCATATTCCTGAGAGCATTGTCCAAGCTCTGGCAGGCTTGGGGCGGGGATCACAGCATTGGAGCATCACTTTTCACATAGCAGAATCAAGGCCACTGACAGCAAACCCAAGCAATGCTGAAAAACATCACACCAGCATATATTTGTTACTGGTAACTAAAGTCCTTAGACTTTAGTCCTCCTTGTCCTTAGACCTAGCTAACCAAGAAGTTTGGGTTGTTAAAAACAGATATTTCTGGGTTATTCCTGAGCCCAAGAATACAAAAAAAATTTACAGGAAAAAATGTCTATTTTTTTTTTACCATTGTTCAACTTCAAAAATTGTTAAGAAGCTTGCTTAAAGTTTACAGGAAGAAAAATCATCTCGTGCTGAAGTAAGTCATGGAAAAAAATTTGTCCTAAAGGATAATTTTTCAACAAAGTATCATTAAGTGCAGAAGAGGATAAGATAACAGAAGTGACAACACAGACAAGATCCTAAGGTGAGTTGGAACAATGAGAGGGAGATAATGGGAGGTGAGGGATTCTTGAGGGCAAGGCTAGGATCCTAAACATATTAATAAGACATCCTCAAATCTGTCATCATGCAAAATACCTCGTATACACTTAGGCATTTATAGAATTACATAAATTCACCATTCTATAAATTTTAATGTGTTCATTTTTAATTCAATTATAAATTATATCAACAAACAAATATTGTTTCTGTATAGAGAGATAAACCATATATGATATTTAATTTTTTTGCTATCAAATTTGTTCCTCTTTAGATATTTTGAGAATAGTGACTTGTGTTAAAACAGGAGTTGCTACATTCAATATTTAACCAGATGTCTCGTTTTAGACACCCTGTCCATTGTGCTTCTCCCTGAATTCTTGTGTCACCTAAACCTTGGGTTTGCCTGGATTATTTCTTTCCTTTCTACTCCTCTACCCACAGCATTCCTGCTTTCTCCTTCCCTGCCTCTGCATGGGGGCAGGTACAGGCCTGTGCTCCCCAGTAGAAGAAAAACATGGACACACTGCAGTGAATCCACTGGAGAGCGATTAAGATAAACCTTAAGATGAACAAGGAGAAGCTGAGAACACTGGAATTGCTGTACCACAGGAAAAAAAGGCTCAGGGGATATTACCCATGTGGCCAGTTGGAGAGCGCAGAGCTAAAACCTTCTCAAGGACACCCAGTGAAAGGACAAGAGGCACAGGGCACCAATGGAAATGTAGGGAGGGCAACTTAAACATTAAAAAATCCTTGGTGTAACAGTGATCAAATACAGGAAAAGTTGTTGAGTCTCCATCCCTGGAAATACTCAAAACCCAAGTGGACAAGTCTCTGAGCAACATCCTCTAGCTGACCCTGCTTTGAGCCAGAGGTTGGACCAACTATCTCCAGAGATCTCTCCTAACCATAGCTGCTGATTCTCTGGCTAAATGGTTTCTGTGCACTTTCCTCAGCTGGGAACACTGGAATCTGGCATCAGAAGTATTAACAGATTCTTGGATTCATCATTATTTCTCTGTTGGCACTATTGTAGTCTCATAGCCCTGCTGGCTCACATGGAATTTCTGCAAGCTACAAGTGCTGGGGTACTTTTCTCCCTCTCTCATGACCACTTCTGGCATTCAGTCCTATGTAAAGCAATGGTTATTGCAGAAAGGGAAAGAAAATTCTGAAAACTTACTCATTTCCATATATTCTGGAGTCAGCCCAGTGAAAGGTTCCAAGATGTAGTCAAGATCCCATTGCTGAGGGTCCTTGGATTGGTCGGTGCCAATTTCCTTTACCTCAGTTCTTTCATCCTTCAGCTTCCTAAAGAGTTTCTTGAGCTTCCTGAGGAACAAAAGTTCAGATTGAACTAAATCTGTTTGTTTTTTTTTTTTTTTTCCCTAAAAGATTTGGCCTATGTCTTTGCACAGCAACACAAAATTAATCCTGTGTTACTTTGGCACATCACAGGGGGAGTTTACACCACCCTGGGAAAGTTCAGATGTTGTTTATTGACAGGTACAAGCTAGTGGAGTTGAATCCAGTACTTTATAATAATTTTTCTCTCTAGATGCATATTCCAAGGGGGTCTTCCTGAAGATCCTGGAACCTAGATAATATTAGTAATTAGTATTCTCAAGAACAACATAGTGAGTACCTCTCTTTTAACAAAATGCAAAATGTAGTGGTTTCATTCCACATTTTTACTACAGGCACACTTTCATCTCAATATAAAAATTGGGAACTTCCGGTATAATAGAATTTTAATGTCAAAGAATTGCCAGATGCTCATGGGTTGTGCAGAAAAGCTGCAGCTGCCCCATCCCTGGAAGTGTTCAATGCCAGGTTGGATGGGGCTCTGAGCAAGCTGGGATAGGGGAAGATGTCCCTGCCCATGGCAGGGAGCTGGAAATGGATGAGCTTCAAGGTCCCTTCCAACCAAGGCCATTCTGTGATTATGGGATGTTTCCAAAAAAGAGGGTGCAAGAATGTACTGACAGTAGAAAAAGCAGTATCAAACATCGCCCCACTGAAATGGGGATACAAATTTAATGACATTGACAAATAAATTAGAGTAAAATGAATGATTTCTAAATGAAGAGTAAAGTTCCCCCACCCTCTGTGGTATTTGAAATACACATGCATCAGCAACTTCAAGCTATTTTATACACTGAGAAGTTTCCATGGAAAACCACAGTAGTAGAGTGAGGTATTTCTTCACAATCAAGGCAGCAAAATACAGTCAAATTAGCATAAAATAGCCAGATTTATACTTATTGCATATCTTTCTTTTGCAGTTGATATTTATCTTCCACATAAATATACAGCACTATTTTACACTTCACATATGTGCCATTAGTGGAAATCCAGACTAATTCCAATGAGGTGTTGCCAGTAGTGTAAGCAGGGCTCTCCCACAAAATCTTCCCCCACAGCTTGTGATAAAGTCTTTGAACTGTAGGTGTGTGGCCTGGATACAGGAATATTTGGGAGAAGGGGTTTTCCTTTGGACCTCCAGAGAAGCAGAACGACTTTCCTGGACCCTGGCTTCAGTAGCAGGGCAAGGCTGAGGAACAAAAGCTGGCAAACACAATAAAGACTTTGCTGTGTGGGTTTATTGCTTCATTCCTAAATTTGCACTGAGCCATGGGATCACTGTGTTCCCACAGTGACTGAGGAATTTCTGCACCTACCAGTGTTTACAAGACCCATTGCATTTCATCACCAGTATGGAGGAATTTGGGATTGGAAGACACTCTTTAAACAGGTCTAGATTGCATTAAGCCCTCTCAGATCCTGGATCATAAAGTTTCAGAAATCAACAGGACAACTCCTGGTTTTGTTTGAGGTAGAAGGAAGATGTAGCTCCCAAGTCTGATGGTAACATCATCAGTGCTTTGGCATTACTGGTAACCAGGACACTCAGATTGCACAGTTTTAATGAAAGGGTGGGGGTAAATTTAAAATGCTTCACGAGACAGATAGAATTAGATTAACCCTTTCAAAGACTTTTACCTCTTACATCATGCAAACTCAGCCATTTCAAGACACTAGATTCCCTTTCTCCCCCTCTGCCTTTATGGCAGCCAAGGGAACTTGTTGGTGACAGAGGTGATGTATCATTCAGAGGGTAGGAGGCTGGGGCAGGATTTAAAATAATCAAAGAATTCCCAGGATGTTCTTCCAACATATCTCAATTAATTTCCTAATGGGAGGGACTCTCAGAGGATGGTGAACAATAGATTCCAGACAATGCTAATTTCTGTTCCAATGAAATGATACAAGCTGTAAATGTCTCTCACACTTCTGTGGGTGGATGAGAGTGAAGATGATCTTGTTGTCACAGCACAGCAGCAGCTGAGATAAAATTTGAGTGTGTTTAGATGTGAAATCTGTGCACATGTGATCTAATCCTTCAGCTACAGCACCACAGAATCGAGTTCTGGAGATTAATACATACATACATCTCCCACGAGGATCTAGTAAATAAAACAATTGTGGTTGGTTTTAATGTTTATTTGGGAATACACCAAATCCAGAGCTCAGTTGCTCAGAATAATTTTTAATTTTTCATCTGGTTATCTCTAAGCCAGGCATGATGAACAGCAACTTTAACCATTTGGAGTTCAGCTTTGAAGAGTGTTTGCATGCTTCTTTTTATGTTTTTTTGTTGTTTTTTTTTTTTGAAAGATCAACTGACTGAAAGCAAGCCAAACCAATTATTTCAAATTTTCCACAAAAAACAAAAAGTACCTTTGTATCATATCCAAGCATGTGAAGTTTGAAACCAAGCAGAAATGTGTCAGAAAGTTAAAGGAACAGAGAAGAGGGATTTGCAGGATGTTATTCTCCAGCTATACAGCAATGGGCAGCAATAGGGCGATGAAAATGAGTTTTGCAGAACCCTTTATCTGTATTTATCATTGTGATTCTAAAACTGCGTATGCTTTTTAAATGCCTTTGTTTGAAGCCCATTTCTTAATTACCCAGATCAACGTTTTTAAAGAAAATTGACAGAAAAAGAGTTCTTTTAGCTTCTGATTTTTTTTTCCTCCTGGGCAGCCCCCCACAGTGAGGAAGTGGTAAGTTGGCCCATTCAGGATAAGTATCCCAGAAGCTTTGTGCTGAAGACGCTCATGCAGCAATGTTTCATGATTCCACACAGATCTGGGCAAAGAGGGAAAACTATAGAGCTGTAGAATAGCCATTATTTCTGGTTGTTTTGCCAGGGAATGTCAAAAAGCAAGGTGCACCCTTAAGGAAACTGAACAGCATGTGAGAAGAATCAACGCAGGATGAGAAAGAAAGAAAATTACCAGGCTTTTGTCAGGCTGTGTCTAGAGCAGTTAAAAATGACACTGCAGCTTCTCAGAGGGGATTGACACCAAATTATTGTATTAGGTAAGAGGTGGGAACATTGTTGAATTATGCTGATTGTAATTCCCAGTATAACCAATAAGCACTGCATTATGCACGTTAACAAGCATCTGAAGTGAGCATAAAATCACTACCTGTCAATTACACTCAAGATTTTGAGAAAAAAATATGATGAAAAGAGAGAAATCAAGCTCCAAGCGATCCTGGCTGGGCTGTAAGCACATGGTGATCAGATGAAGGCTCCTTTTCAAAAATCAGAGAGGTGATTCAACAGTTTCTCTATTGATGCAGTAAGAAGGAGCAGCTGGATTTGGGGGATCTAGGGGAAAGAATAATGATGAATGGAAAAAAACGAAAAATTTGTGGAGTGAGTGAGAGTGGAATAGATAGAGGCTGAAGAAGTGGGGCATCTGGAGGGCAGGCTGAAAGAAAACAGATGCAGGAAAATTACTTTGTTGGCACAAGTGTTTGTGTCTTCAGTGGCTGTACAATTGGGATTGTTCAGCCTGGAATAAAGAAGGCTCCAAAGGGACTTAATTGAGTGTTCCAATGCCTGAAGGAAACCTGTGGGAAAGATGGAAATAGACTATTGAAAGTGATGGAGTGCAGGAAAAGGGGGAATGGCTTCACACTGACAGAGAGCAGGTTTACATGGGATATAGGGAAGAAATTCCTTTCTGTGAGGGTGGAGAGCCCCTGGCACAGTTTGCCCAGAGAAGCTGTGGCTGTCCCATCCCTGGAACTGTCAAGGCCAGATTGGATGGGGCTCTGAGCAACCTGGGATAGTGGGAGGTGTCCCTGCCTATGGCGGGGGATTGGAACTGGGAGGTCTTTAAGGTTCCTTTCCAGACCAAACCGTTCTGTGATTCCATTATTCTATGAATACTTGCTAGAACAGAGATGCATGTGGAGGTTTTACATGAAAAGACAGAAAGCCCCTAGAATCCAGCTGCCAGGAACAAAGGATTATTTATAACAGGTGGGGTTTTAAGGCTCTCCTTCCAGCTGATGCTTTTTGATCTGTAGGATAATATAAAAAGGTGCAGAGAGAAAGCTAAACAGAAAAGATTCCTACGTTGAGTAGCTGGAGCACTTGTATCTGGACAAAAGGAAGAGCAGTGACCCAGACTCTTGCGTCCTTGCCTGTAATTTTCTTTCCTGCTTTTGGGAAGGAACACTGAAGATCCAGGCCCTCCTTCAGTCATATTCCTACAGTCAGTTCACATAAAGAAACACCTTCTCACATTCACAGCACAAAAACAAAGCAGGGGAAGAACAAAAGTATCTAAATTTCTTGTTCTCACACAAATTTTTGGTACAGCCATGCTTCCTTGGCACACTCAGATATCCTGGATTCTACAAGTTTCAGTTGTGTTTGGGGTTTATTGGTTTCTCAATCAGAGGAAAACTACAATAAAAAACAGGAAAAGAAAAAAAAAGGAAAAAAATCCCCACCCAAACCTTTAATTAAGAATAATTTAGTAAAGGTGAAAAACAACATAAGAGATAGTAGCTATGAAGGGTTGTATTTAAATGGATTTTATTAACTCTTGGTATTGTCATCCAGCATATTTAAGTATATTTTGAAGGAAGTGATGGAAATCGATGCTGAATAAAAGGGCCACAACCATGGCCTCGCTAAATTCAATAGTTTTGCTGTTCACTTCAATAGGGCCAGGATTTCACCCTAAGGGTTTAACACCAAGGTCAAAACCAGAGAGTAATAAAATAACCACATGGATGGGTTTTTTTTCAGTAAGTTCAGAAAAGAAACAGAACTAAATGAAAAGGGTCTTAAAAGAACTCTCGGTTAAGGCTTTCAAGCCCTGCAGCCTTTTAGGGTCAATTCCTATGGCAACAGTAAAAGAATGATGGTATGTGATACATCTGAGTGAACTTTGGCATATTTACATCTGTTAAACTTGTGAATTCCAGCCCCATAGAACACACATTTCAGTTCAAGAGGGCTTAGTTTTCTATAATTCAAATCTTGTTGCATTTACCTATCTGGTTTGCTATAGCTGGATGCAGAAATTTAAAAAAGAAATCATGCAAGGTTCAGGAGATCAGCAATTATATCTATCATAGCTGCGGCAGCAGTTTCTACAGAAACATTGAAGGAAAAGCAAGGATGTGTACCCAAAAAATGCAGGGCTGTCATCTGAATTTTCCATCCTCACCCGGTACTGACCATGGATAAAGCAGAATGAAGATATGGAAAGATGCTTTCCAATTCTTTCCAGTTTGGGGTTCTAGGAACATAAAGGATGACTGCTGCTTGGATCATCTACTTAGCAGTAGTTTTTGAGGAGAAAGAGAAGAAAATGGGATTTGTGATTTCTGCAAATCACCTAAAACGCCTTGGGTTTTTTGGTGAATCAAATTAAAAGATTTCCTAAAAAAAAAAAAAACTTGAAATCCTTCAGTGAAATTCTTCAGTGTGGAAGAAAATGTTTTTTGATGAGAGTCATCAGATAACTCAGCAGAGAGGTGCTTCCATGTTACAGATGTGCAAGGGACAGCACCAGATTCTGAGGATCAAATCACCATTTATTATATCCCCTTCTGTCTCTCCACATGGAGAAGGTTGGTGGCAGCACCCGGACTCTGCCCACAGTGAAAATACAGGGAGCCAATGGAAGAATCTGTGTTATTCACCCCGTCTCTCAGTCCCTCCAAAGAGGCGCAAGGCAAGGGGGAATGAAAAACGCAGCTGCTGGTACCCTTGAGGAACCAGCCCAAACCAGTACAGTGGTCCATTCAGGAACAGGAGGCTAACTCTGATTTAATTACGTGCTCAGTTATTCTTCTGGTGCAAATAGGTCCAAGGAGAAGGGCTGAACCCTACAGACACACACACAATTTTCGTGGGAATGCAGACAAGCAAAGAAAAGCAGATATGTTTATTCCAATATGACAAGATAGCCCTCTGACTGAAATGAGGTATTTATCTAGGAAGGAGAGGATGAAAGGATGATTGTTTTTAAACAGTTTTAAAAATTGAGGCCACGACAGTTTGCTAAATGAAGGGTGGGGGAGCAGATCTGAGGGAGAAAAATTAGATGAAATTATCACATTGTTGCACCAAAGGGAGGGAAATTAAAAATAATTGGACATGACTTTCTGTTTGGACTAGATCAACCCATGCTTTCATGATTCAAAAATAATAAATACAGTATTTGTAACATCATAAAATTCCCATTTAAAAAGTCCAGTAGCAGTAAGTTTTTGGAAGACGAGAAACAAATTACAGAAGGTTTACACTGAGAAAGCTTAAGCCTTCAACATGTCAGATATTTTGGGAATGATTTACCACACTTTTCTCAAAATAAAATGTAAACTCAATGAGATGCAGACACAAAACAGGCCTTCCTATTAAACTTTGACACAAGAATAATGAAGCCATCCATAATCTACATCTGATTTGTTTGGGAATTTTCTCTCTCTCGCTATTTAAATTCCTTGCAAGAAAAAAAAAAGTTCTTGCTGAGAAAAGGGAGGAAAAGGGCTCATTTGAAATATATTTCATATCTTTTAATAATCGCTCCTCTTTATTTCTAGTTACCATCATCATGGCCTTAGGCATGTGACCTGAAAGCTGCTGACACCAGAGTTGGAAGATTCTGCCTCATTTCAGTGGAGCTGAGATGTCTAAACCAGACTCTTCATCTCCAACATTTCACAGGCCACTGCCACCACAAAGCAAACCTCCCAAGAAGCAGGAGCAGGACTTTCTCAGTGGATTCTCAGTGCTTGAAGATCCCCTTGGCACTGGTGATTTTTCCTGCTGTATTTGGAGCAGGGAACTGAGCACTGAAGCAGTACATGGCAGAAAGGCACTGAGCTGTCAGTGTCTCTGCTTGCTCCTGCATCATCCCAGAATGACATAAAGGCACCTTGGAAACGTGTGGATTTCATCCCCAAACCCATAAAATAGTCATAGATCAAGTAATAGATTTTAACATTTTTTATGGGCTATTGCTTTCCCCCACAATACCTCCCCTCCACTTTGTGCTAATTTGTATTCAATGCTGCTGTCCTGAAAGCTTCTCTGAAAACTCCCAGGAGATCTATCATACCTTTCTCTGGTTTCTAAAATTAATTTAAATCAATTATTTCATATATTTAATCATTTTCTTTAAGCCATTTAGTGAAGATATAGCAAATTATTCAACATAAAATACAACCAGATCATTTCACCACAACCAAAAATGTGATTTATCATCACATTCAATTGGAACCCACTGAAGGCAGTGGCAAAAGTCCCATTTATCTGAATAAGGATCAAGGCTTTGATTTACTGTGCCATAGGAATAACACATAATGGAAAAGGCCAGGATACATACGGGATTCCAATTTCAAAGAGATTGTTTTGAATCAGTTGCTTTCCAAGCATGATGATGCTCAGCTGAATGCAGAGTTCCATCAGACACCCTCCTGGAGCACACTGCAATTAAAAAAAACAGAGAGTGTGAAGGGATTTAGAGAATTAATTCAAAAATATCCACTTGGTAGAGCTGCCAGTGTCTCCATGTGCCCACTGTCCCTACCACCACTTTTTGTGAGATCACGGAGCTCATTGATTACTTCAAATCTGTGTTTGACAAAGTATTTCATCTCCTCTCATTAAACTTCATTATGGAAAATACGCAGAGCTCTGAAACAACTCATGGTGCCCTGGGTCTCCTATATTTCCTTTAAAAATATTTACTGTATAATCAATGTAATAACCATAATGCAGGATCACCGATACTCTTCAATCTGATCTCTCCTGGGGGGGAAAGAAAACCTTCAATCTTGTAAAGACTTTTATGTCAGCTTTATTGTCAAACCTTGAGTACGTCTCTCAGCTTTCAAGGGAATACCCACAGCAGCAATCCCCTTCATGAGAGGATTAAAAAAAAAAATGTTTATAAGTTTAGCACAAAATGGCTCCAGGTTTTTAAGCTATTGAATTTGCCAAGCTTTCAGCGATCTGCAGAATGGGAAGCCAGATTCACACTTCCCGAAGGCCTCAACCAAACCATGGAATGTTTGTGCCTTAGTGCCCAGTAATAAAGGACAGAAATGGTGAAGCTTCACCTAAGAAAGACCATGAAACAGTCAAAACTGCAGAAAGAAAGAATATAAAGTTTCCTTAGATGGACACCCTGGGTTTTGCTTATTCAAGTTGAAGATTTAACCTCTTATTTTAGCATGTGTTTTCTATTTTTCCCCTGTTGTCCATAGTCCACTGAACATGGTACACATATTTCTTTGTGTAAAGGATTTTATTTGTAATTTGAATTTCATATGTACTTACCTCTTCCATCCTGTAACCTTCAAACACATACACATAATGACCAGGACGGCCAACAAACCTGAAAACAAAAATAATATATAAACTAGAATAAAAAAAGAAAAAGAAGCTAATATTGACACTATGATTTAATATAAAAACACAAAAATAAGTTAATTTTGAAATCAAGATTGTTCGTTTGCATTAGTCAAAATATTTCAGAAGTTGCTTCTTAAACATGAATTTTCAAGGGCTCAGCATCTATTCAGCTTTGATTATTTCAAAGAAATAGGCCTCTATGAATGGTTTTCTACTACATCTGGATAAAATAATTTTAATAAATATTTTTCAGTGATAAAACAATATAATTAAAAACACCTCACTTGATTAGAGATGGCAAATATATCTGGGGACACATATCCTAGGTCACATTCTCTTACATGTGAATAATGCTCTGAATGGAATTATTTATACATCTGTACACAACCAAGACTCTTCTGGCTACACCAGGAGAAACAATGATATTGACTTTATTCAAACCATATAACACAAAAATATGGTTAAAAAAGAGAGAATTTGGTGACTTTTTTTCATTGGTGTCTTACAATATTTGCAACTGCTGGCAAAATGCATCATTCATCCTCAAATGAAAGGTGCTGGATAGGATTAGTGAAGAGTAGAGATTAAAAAATTTTACAGCCCCCAAAAGGAAGAGCATTCTGTTCTGGTAGTAAACAGAATCCAGAGGATGTTTTAAACATTTTTTACCAAAGTTTTAGCAAATAATCATTTTAAGCTTCCCATTCAAAAGCATGTGGATGACTGGGTCCCAAAATAAAAGGATTCTGAGCCCATAGGAAGTCACAGTTATTTAGCAGGACAGCTGAATTAGCTTTTTGGTCAATCACTACATTTGCCAGTTGACTGTAGTTATTTCTTAATTTGATACGTGAGAATAATGCAAAATAATGTGAAAGTAATAGAAAAAAGAGCTCCATAGTTTTAAATGAAATAGGAAGACCATTCTTTGCCAAATGATGCTTCAAGGAAAATTTGTTAAACTGTGGAAAGTTAAAGCCTGTAAGCACCACCACTCATTATAAAAAATACACTTTTTTAAAAAACCAAAATGAATTATTAACTTTAGATAAACCTGTCAGAGATATTTTTTCAGACCTGGCAAAGATGACCACTCCCAGGCCTTTGTGCTCATTTTTATACACAGATCCACTAATATAGACACATTATATAAAAATGCATATATAGAAATACATATACGTAAAGGATATTTATCCTACCTTCCTTTAAAAAAGGCAACATAAAAAATTGATGCATAAGAATTCACAAACTTTAGTAGGAATGCCTTCAAAATTAGTCTTTCCTCAAAAGTTTTCTCTGTTTTTGGTATTTCTGGGAAAAAAAATAAAAACAAACCAGAGAATTGAATCAGTAAGTAATATAAAACTCCCTGAATCCCCAAACATGTACAAAAAACCCCCAAACTTCAAACTTTGGGCTTCTATTAATTTTTCTTTTGTACCTCTAATTTGTACCAAAGCCACTAGGTCTGTCACTGAGACCTGATTTCCAGAGATATTCAATTCCACAAAGCAAAAGCAGTATAAATTACTCTGCTCTATATATGGATGTTAACATACACGAGTATATCTGCTACACAGTTACACAACTAAATAACAAAACATTCATATTCTCAGTTGAGGAATGCTGAAAGCAAAGTACAAAGACTTTCAACCAGAAAAAAAACCATCTTAAAAGCATCCTTAACTTTCCAGTTAGGAAAGTTAGTCCACAAGCCTTCTTTTCTCTGGTGAGACTTGAAATGTTTAATGCTAAATACAAGACTAAATACCTTTTTGAATAAGGTATTAAGTGAATTAAGTGCAAAAATAATGGCACATTTTTGTTACCAATTCACTACATATGTTCTGTATTTCAATATTTCTTGGTTTAAATATTTTCAGGATTCATTACTCTGTTCCCAGACTTATTTTCAATTTCTGTGGAAATTTTCTGGCAGCAGAAAGGACAGGTATAAGACAGAGGTTTTTCAAATTGATGGTAGGATCCTTTTTTAAAGATTTTATATGGGTGAAACCCTTGCGTTTCTCTGCTTATCCTGAGCTGTATCTAATGTGAGAGAAGATAATTTTATGATTTAATTTATCATTCTTGGCTGAATTTCTGTGGCACAGGGAAAATGTGGTATAATAAGGAGATCCAGAGCTCTGGCTTAAGGACTTCATTAAAAATACTGCTGTACTTTTACGGTTTTGTTTCAGGCACAGTTTGAGTGTTCTGTTTGCTTTGCTGTTGTTTTTGGGGTGTTTTTTCTTAAAAAAGCTGCATAATTATTTTAGCACTAAAGGAAAAGAAAAGCCTAATGAGCCCTCACTGCCTGACTTACTTTGTGATACTTTCAACCACATTTTCATAAAAGATCAGTGCACAACCTGATGAGCCCTACGGCATAACCCACCTATAAGTATAAAAAAAGCTTAATTAAACCTTCAAACAATTTGTAGGTGATCCCATACACTGAATAGACCTGCAAGAGAAAAGCTCAGGGCAGCAGGAATATCGAATAACAGCAGTGCAACTTTTCATTTGAGGGAGAAAAATCCTAAACTCTGCCTTACAGAGAACCCCCGCAGGGATGAGCTCAGCCTCTGGATGAACATTTACACACCATATATGGTCCCAGAGGCTCCCTCAGACATCCTATACCATAGCTGTAGAGGCATGTGTAGAATTTGTCCTCCAGCTCGTTGGGTGTGCTGCATGAGAAATGCATTCAGCCAGAATAGGTGTATTTGTAACAGAGAAAACTCCCTCATCCCAAAAAAAATTAAACACTCAGTGGTGGGTTGTTATGCCAAAATTAGGCAGCTGGAACTTTGCAGGTGAAGGATGAGTTGAGCTAAGGGTGGAATGGGCCTTAGCTCTCTGAAGGAGCTGTTGCCTTTGCAAGGGACAAACACAAGTAGTTTTGATTTTGTCCCTGTTTCACTGGTTCTTCCTTGGCCCCAAGGAAGCGTTGAGGTTGGTGAGGCCCTGGCACAGGTTGCCCAGATCAGCTGTGGCTGCTCCATCCCTGGAACTGTCCAAGGGCAGGTTGGATGGGGCTGGGAGCAACCTGGGCTAGTGGAAGGTGTCCCTGCCCATGGCAGGGGCTTGGAACGAGGTGAGCTTCAAGGTCCCTTCCAACCCAACCCAACCCAACCCAACCCAACCCAACCCATTGTGTGGTCCTGAGTTACAAGTGAACTGTAAATCTTGTCTGGCACCACCTGATTACTGAAGAGAATATGTTCTTCCTGGGAATAGCAGGATACCATCTGCACTTTGGTTGGTCTGATCTGTGATAAAGGAGCATCAGTGCCCCACTCCGCTGGGCCCACAGGAGTCCTGCTCCACCCTGTATGAGCTCTGTGTATTAATAACGACAAAAGTCCTACTCTTTTCCTCCTGACTGAGGAGGTATTGAGGCATATGCATGACTGTGATCCTATGATTAACCCAATTGCTATCAGTGCTATTCTTGTGCTTACAGATGTAGTTTTTTACCTGAACAGAGATTCGAGTGTACTTGGGCCAGGAATAGAAACTTATGCTGTCACTACTCCTTCAGCCCAACAAGTATGTTCCTCAGCTTGTGGATTAAGTGCAGTGTGAAATGAGAATTGAGAGTGTTTTTCTCTTCTCAGTAATGAGAGTTCACAAGTTGAGCAACATTTATCAGCATGCATGAATTGTAATTTTTTTTAAACATTTTGTTTACATTTGGCATCTGAGCCTATCACTGGAGAAAGCTGCCTGAGTGAACTTTCTAACTCATGTAATTTGTAGCACTAGAGATTATTCTGACTGGATCCTTCTTAAACAAAATATCTGATGATTGGTTAGGAATGCTGCCCTAATAATGACAGGATTAGAATTTAATGCAAAGTGACAGGGGGGAAATAATCAGCAACTACGAAATTGTTGTTTCTTTCAAAGTTCAGCATGGTGCACATTTCAAAGAGAGAGATTTTTCTCCTGCACTTCCCAAAGAGAGGCCATGGCGGTGCCTAGCACTTCCCAGCTCCTGCCTAGAAGCTGCTGGAGAAATCTCATCTTTATCTTTTCCTACTCTTTCCATAGAGCTGTGTCATTCCTTAACATTTGTGCCCTTTCTTACCTGGGCAGGTGCAGTGAACAGAATTGATCAGGTCACACACAGTTAGCAGTCTGTCATGTGAAAGCTGAAAATCTGGGTACAATTTTGGCCTGAACAGTGAGCCTGAGCTCATTTATGCTACTAGAACAGAGTCCATTTGTGTAACCCTGTTACAATCTGCCCAAAGCCTGGTGCAAAACAGAAATAAACAAATGAACCCACTAAAGTGACAATTTGGAAAATTAATTGCTCTGTCTTAATTTCTTTCAAATACTTTAGGAATTTATTCTAAAGAGGATCATACTTCCACAATTCAGGCTTGGACCTCTAACAGCTGCAAAACTGTAGTTTATAATGTTCTTCCAAAAATAGGACTGAAAGAGATGTTTTCATTTGTGGATTTAAAAGTGTTTTAAGAAATTGAGAAGAAACAGAAGTCTGAAGAGTAACCTCATGTAAAGGTGCTTGGTCAAATTTATATAATAAAATAAAGCCCAGCCTAAACCCCTATTAGTAAACATCTTAAACCTAATGTATATAACAAATCAATGCTTTAGGCCTAAAGCTCTATAGGAGTCAAAGGAATGACTTCTCTTCAAAAGAAATAAATAGCCAGGCTTGCAACAATATTTTGATGTTTAAAATAAACTTTTAAAGTCAAACCACTAACTGGAGTAAAAATCATTAATAAAAAGTCCAGCCCAGACATGCCCCCAAAATCATTTGAGCAGTAAGGAAATAGTTAAAATTTTCATCAGGGAAACAACATCAATGTAACTTTGTCAGAGCCATCAACATTTTTTAAACAACCCTCTGACTTTCTGCAGCTCTTAGCTTGAAGAGGTACCTTCACAGGCCTGAGTGTTTTCACAGGCCCCACCCAGGAGGAAATACTCCTCTTGGACCCTCCTTGCACCCCCTCATGTCAATACATGGATTAATGAGGAATGTGGCGAGGCAGTTTTACCAATTTCTGTCAGCCATTTGGCCACAGCTCCATAAATTTCATCAAGGATGAGGACTACCACAAGGTTAATGATGACAGCAGTGGCAGTCACAGTCACTCGAACATTGGACCTGGTTGTCTCGTTTGTGCTGAAGGACAAGGCTGCTGCTGTCGTGATTCGGTACACGATGACACCAAACACTGCTGAAAACGCCAGCATGATCTGCAAACAATTAACACATGGATTAGCTCAGCCTGGAAACAGAAGCTTTAGCTGGGAGGTTGGGTGTGTTCCATGAATTGGCATCACAGGGCTGTTTCTTAGTGCGAGACAACATGAAGGTGATCGAAATAAAAGACTCTCCAGCAAACAGGGGTATAAATAAGAAATAAGGAAATTGATGCAGCACTCCAAACTGGCACAACAATTCAACTGACACAAGATGATCAGGGGGCTGGATGCTTCACAGCATGTCTCATGTGAAGACAGTTTGAGAGAGTTGGATGAGAGTTGAGAGAGTTGTCTAGCCTAGAAAAGAGAAGGCTTCAGGGAGATCTTATACCACCTTTCAGCATCTAAAGGAGGCTTATAAAAAGGAGGGAAAGTGACTTTTTACATGGGCAGGTAGTGGTAGGAAAAGAGAGGATGGTTTTAAACCAAAAGAGGACATTTTTTGTTAGATATTAGGAAGAAATTCTTTCTGTGAGGGTGGAGAGGCCCTGGCACAGGTTGCCCAGAGAAGCTGTGGCTATCCCATCCCTGGACGAGACCAAGGCCAGGGTGGATGGGGCCCTGAGTGTCCCAATCCAGTGAGTGGCATCCCTGCCCCTGGTAGGGAGTTAGAATTAAATAACCTTTAAGGTCCCTTTCAACCCAAACCAATCTGTGATTCTTTTATACTGATTCCATGGATTCCTGCAGATGGGCATGTCCATTCTGATTAAAGCTACACACATCATTCATGCAGTGAAATTTGGGTTCAAAAGCAGGAATTAAGTAAGATCTTTTATCTGACAATAGATTCAGATAGCTTGGACTGAAAGGCCTGTATTTATGTGCAGTCAGATAAATGGGATTTACTGGCTCATACAGCTTCACCTGTGCCCAGCAGAAGTGCAAACTTACAAATTAAAGTTATTATTCCCCTGTTTTTATTCCTTTTAGGCTGGTCTAAGCAGGGTTATTAGGGCTTCACTTTACATTTGTGTCCCAGAAATCACTTGGTATCCCTGGCATTCTTCATAGGCCAGCTTTGACCCATGAGATGAGGAAAGTTGGCCCGGCTACTTAAGATCAAGTTCCCACAAGAAGAATTTGAATTTCACAGGGTTGTGGTATTCAGTTAAAAAAAATAATCTAAACCAATCCACAATGAAAAAGAAATCATTAAACCAATAATAAAAAATAGCAAATTTTCATCATCACAGCACAAAAGGGAGAGAAGGTACATTTTTCCCTTTCATTTTTGCCTTTAGCAAGAATTCCAGTGTACATTCATTATTTTAGGTAAAACATCTTGAGATCATCAGATGAAAGAGACTACCTCAATGTGAAAGATTAGACTACTGCAATTATTAAAATGGGCCTGGGGGCCTAGATTCAAAACACAGGTTTAAGGAAATGTAACAGTTCATTTTAATGATCCAGCAATAGTTTATTGAATTCCTGTATGCAGGGGAAGGTTGTTGCATGAAAAGGAACTATTGCAAAAGAACCACAATAAGAATCAGAGTTAAATTATTAAAGGTTGAAGGTGAAAACTGGGCACACTTTTATGAAGAACTAGTAAATATACTAAGAATTAATTATTTGGAGAAACTCCTGGAGTTTTCAGATGAAATTGTCAAATATGTTTTGTCAGCAAATAGTAATAGTTAGACCTAGTAAAACATCTAATTTTACTTTTTAAAGAACTGTTTCATTAATTTTAAATGAAATGTAGGTTGAATGATAAAAGCCTGAACCTGAAACAGTTTAAATGAAAACTTTTCAAATTACATAAAATATTATTTCCTTTGGTTTTGTAGTTTTCATTGTGTCAAGGAAACATTTCTAGTTTCTATATCTATTTTTCTTTTGACTTACCTACCAAATGAACAGACAATAAAAAATCACATTCATGCTGAACTACGTTGCTGTGACAGAAGGGGTGTAGGAACACAAGAACCATAACTTTTTCCTTGCTTCCCCATTACAATCACTAGAGTAGAAAGTAAAATCCCCAACAAAGGAAGAAAACAAACCAGCACCACCTGGTATTAATTTACTTCACCTTCCACCTCTACAGACACCTTAAGCTCCTTTCATTTTCTTAATCTGAGCAACAGATTCCTCCTTCTTAATCATCTTCCTGATACTGTCTTCCTGGTTTTTTCCCCTGGATTTCTTTTCAATTTTTTTCACTACGGTGGTGGACAAGGAAAATCAGAAATTGGATGCCTCATTCTGGAGCTGATGGGATCCCTGAGCCTCGATACACACCTCTCTCCATCATGAATTCCCACTTAGGAATTATATCTTAACAGTACAGGAAGAAGAGTCAAGGACAATCCACACTAAACAGAAAAAGAGGAAATTTCAGATCATGAAAGTTCAATGAACTTGAACCTGACAGAAGGATTTTAGGGATCCCTTACCCCAAGGAACGTTACTGGAGGATGAGAGTAGCAACCTTTTCAAATCCATGCAATGCCATAATGCCATAGCAAGATGTACAAAATTACTAAAAAAAAAGAAAAAAAGTCTTATTTGTTTAAAGAACAAAAATATTTGCAAATGCACCAGGGCTTCAGAAACTCTCAGTTGCTCAGCTGTTTAATTTAAACATCTGTTTAGACACAGATGGAAAAATACTCCTTTAGGAGTCTTCATTATCTGTGCATCCAGCAAGAAGAGAAAATTGAGGAGGGCCTGTAGGACTGCACAGTTACTGTAAGCACAGTTCTCACTCCCCAGACAGTCACTGAGAGGGAATGGTTCCTGTATCTTCATTTCTCTCATTCCTGAAAATACCTCTTCTGCCCAGATTCCCGATCAGGCAGGCCACCATTTGTTCAGGTGCCCACTTTGAGGTTTGTTGTCATTGCCAACATTCCCTCTGGCCATCCTTCCCCCCCCCCCATTATGGCAGTTTCTTCCCTGAATAGCTGAACTAGTCCATCCAGGACTAAACTGCTTAGAAACAGATGTGAAAATTGGCTGCAGAAAAGGTCACCTACTGAGCCTGGTATGAATGAAGACAAACAGGAAAGCAAACTAGATATGAGAAGGAAGCTATAAAACCCTGTGGGCTACGCTGCTACCTCCATCCAAGTAGGATAACAATTTAATGTCCAGATAGTTCTCTGGCCCCCCAGTAGAGCTATTCTAGAGTCAAATATTACACCATGTGAGTGAGAATAGGGTGGAAGAGGCTGAGCTCTTCTGCCATGACACAAATTGATTTTCTTCCTTCCTCTGACTGAGCCAAACAAAGAAAAGCCCCAGTGATTCATTGTTCCATGTCACCCTGCTCTCTCCCAGCACTACCAGCATCTTTACACCAATTCAGAAATCTCTGCCACAACATGTGCCTTCTAAATATGGGGTTGATAAGTTGTATTGTGTTATTGTTAATCATACTCAAGAAAAGCTTTTAGATGCCCAGATGAGCTCAAATCTCCTGCTACCATTGATCTCACTCTGCAAAAATAAGACTTGTGAACTTCTGTCCTACAATCCCTGCAAAAATGCATAGCTTAAATCAGACTTGGATCTTCTGCCCCCTCTGCAGTCCAGTGAGGCTTTGTGTACAACAAAAGGACTTGATCAGATTTTAAAGCATCCACACATGTGTGAATTAATCCTTGGAATTGTTTGGTGATGTAAGAGTGGACGAGAGAAGCAAACAGAATGGTTTTTTTCAACCTGCATTTTGAACAAAAAAAACCAGCATGCCTAGCTTAATACAGACAGAGGAAAAGCCAGAAAAAAAAGAAAAGACCATGACACAATTCTCGAAAGAGGATTCACAAAAGTGAAGTACACAACAGAAGTATGGAAATTAAGAGGGGAAAAAAAAAAGGAAAGATTTTACACTAAGAAAACCATTACCAGCTTCAAGAATGACCAGGAAAAGTATGGGATGTAAAGCTCAGGGAAAGAGGAACAGAACAAAACAGCATCACTCTATAGCAATGTAGAAATTGTCATGGAAAACACCTATAGATTTGGAACACCCTTTCCCTTTTGGCCTGGGAAAGCTAGCATTAAAAATTCAACAATCGCTTTTGCAGCACTACAAATTGCTTGTGTGCAGGTCTGTGTCTGAATCTTGTACCCCTGCATACACAGATAAATTCAAGATTTTATTATTTATTTTGTATGTAGGCCTTATAGTTAAAGTAATTAATCTGGGTGAATAATTATAATAGAGCTTAACAAGCCAAATAAGGTTTCTCAGTACAATTCTATTTCACAGACTGACAACAAAACTTCAGTCTGATCTTTCCAATTCCTCTTTAACTAATCTAGCAGGAAAAAGGGAAACATCAAATACAGTAAAGAGCAACTTGCAATATCCAAGTAGAATAGCAGAGCATGCTCTCCCTCATCAAGAGTGGGTTTGAATTTCATGCATGGTTTGCAAGCTGTCTCCTGTAGGTACTTATATATAAATAATACTCAAAATATTGCAAAAATAAGATCATTGTGTCCACTTTGTAGATGGTGAAAGTCAGTCTAGTTCTACTAGTCACAAACAGAAGTTGAAGAATTGGAGCTCTGCATTTTACATCTCACAAACTGTAGGTAATAACCCTTTATAAATCTCTCTGAGATGTTACAGTAAGTAGGAAGGGTAATACCTAGGTTATGAGTCAGGAAAGCACTTTAGGCTCATGCTTAGGGGAGAATTAAACATGTGGTGAAAGTGAAGAGCACATGTAAGCACCTTGTCTGCAAAAGAATGACTTGTAAAAGCTCAATCAGGGCTGTGTGCTTAGTCAGACTCAGTGTGGCCTGCTCTAAGTGAAGTCATGACTCATGACACTTAGAGATTCTGTCTAAAAAGTAAATATTGGGTATGGCCACAGCATGGTAAACTCACTCAAAATGCTGTGAGTACATCCATAGAGGACACCTCTAAAATGTAGAGAAAATATTCTGAATATGCTATGCATACTTTTTCATAAATATATAAATATATCTATAAGGGTGTACATATTAACTTCAATGTGAGCATTTGATTGTCAGAAAAAGAAATGAAATCTTCTCAGGACATCTGGTGCAGTATATGCAAAATTGAGTAAATTAGAAATACACTTAGCCATCTTAAAATAATTTAGGCCGCAAGTGAGTTTCCCTAGTTACATGCTGCAATGGTGTAAACAGGCTTATTTCATTGCCATTTTAGAGTGGCTGTAGGTATGAACAGAAGGTTTCAGTCAGTAATTACTGTAACCAGAGGGATAATGGGATCCTTTACCATGTAATTTAAAGTTTGTTACCCAGGCCTTCCTGTTGCTGTTTACAAAGTCCAGTAGCTTCATGATGGGTTTGTTTTGCTGGAAACTTGACTTTTGACTAGGACAATGGTGTTCCCACTTTAGGGGCTCTCCTGCACACCTGATTCTTGCTCCCAAGGAAGGATTGTGTACCATGATTTTACTGTATACCATGATCTACTGTACAGTGTCCATTCCTGAACGTGTCTTGGATAAATATTTATTAGCAACTGATTTATTTCACCTGGATGTCGCCTGTTCAGAGGCTCAACCTTTCTGAACGCCACTGTGACCAACATATGCAATACTGTGCTCACAACTGAACATCAATGTTATCCCTTCATTGGATAACAGAGATGGACCAGAAACCCTGGGGGAGAGGCAGAATTTGTGTAATGAACTGCTGGCATTAGCAGCAAATCAGACTTTCCACAAGCAGCCTTTGGAAAAAGAGATTAAAGCTGGAGGCAGGCATTGAGCTCCATGAACCTTCCTAGTATTTCTCCCAAACTGACCTTACCTTCAGATTTTTAACATATTTGAGAACAGCAATTCAAGGGTTTCCTTCTAGATGCTCATGGCAAAGTTTCTCACACCTAATAAACAAGCAGAAATGAAAAGTATGTTACCATGAATAGAATCAGTCCAAAGTTCACTGCATATCCAGGCATGCGGTCACTCCATGTCAGTTTCTCCTTTTCATTCTGTAGGCAAAACACATAAAATAAGAGATGTAACAGAACTGTACAATAGGAAATATTATGATTAACAGGATTTGTTGTTGAGAGCCATTCTCAATTCCCCGGCTGTGATTTTGAAGTTTATTATGCGATTTAGAACACTGATGTTTTAAAGTAGATTTTGATTCAAGAAAAAGGAGGGGAAGAGTAAATAAGACATGTAGAAACTGTCGGCAAAATTAAGAAAATATCCTATACAACTATGATTTAAGTATTTGAAAACAGGTATTCAAGTCCTACTAAAGTTCATATCAGGAGAAATCCCTGAGATTGACTTTAATTCACATTTAGGCAAAGCAAGATTCAAGCATTTATTTTGAATTGCTTCTTGTAAAACTACAGAAGAACAGTGCTTGAGACAGAAATCATGATAAGAATGCTGATTACCATTGAATCCAGATTTTTTTCCTAGTGGTCACAAGCACCAAATGTGACCCCTCAGATAATGATTGGCAAGGCATCCCAGTCCTTCCCCTGGTACTTGTTTTATAGCAGAGGAAAACTACAAAAGTAAGGCCCCTCTGATCCCCACTGCCAACCTTGTTTTTTTCATGCATAAACAGCATCTCCTTCTTCCCTGCATAATTTAAAGCAACTGTGATTAGTGAAATCCAGTACACTTTTCTCCTCCCCACACAAACTCAACTCCAGCCCCAGCTGCATGTACATCTAAAGAAGACATTTGAAGATGGATTTATGTGAGAAATACGATTCTCTCCTCTCAAAATAGATTTCTTAAAATAATAATAAGGTTGCTGCTTTGTTTAAGTTAAACTAAAACTATATAATCAAATTAACTAAGGACACAAAGACAGCTGCTGTTGGTATTTCTGTGACGCACCACTGCTGCCCCATGGACCAGTACTACCCTTACACTGGAGTTAGCTCAGAGTGATTCTGAATTTAAATGAGTTAAATCAGATTAGAATTCAGGTCCAAGGTTTCCTATAAACCATTTCTAAGGCACAATTGCCCATGGATAAACATAAAAATCTGGGAGTGTTGTGCCTTTGTAAGAAGCTTTCCCAAAGTAGAATTAGGAATGCAGCATATAAGTGCAGAAATGCAGCTGCGGATTTTCTAACCGGGATGTGGAATTAGACACAGGACATAACCCTGCCTTATACATCCATTGCCATGGTGGTGGTGCCTCAGACACTGGGAGAGATCATTACTCAGCAGCCCCTCTTGTGACCTCGTCTCCTTTGGGACAGTCCTGGGAGCACTGGGGCACAGCAGACCCAACCAGAAGCACCAATAATTTGGCCCAGTGTACACAGCACAAAAATACTCTTTACAGTTCATACACAGAGTCCAGCACGTAGCTGGAAGGCTACTTGAAAAAGCATTCCTGTGAATGCACACATGCATTTCATTGCATTTTGGCCGTTACCACTCAGCAATTCTACAGGACATAAAGAATTTCTAAGTGATTATATTCCCAGAAGGCCTGAAGGACACCACATTTTACAGTTTCACTAGGGGCTTTACGGGGCTGTGCTTTGTACTTGTGCTGAACACAGGGCTGATAATAGAGATGGGTTTGTTATTGTGGAGCAGAGCTTACACTGAGCCAAGCCTTTCCTGCTTTTCTGCTGCCACACTGCTGAAAGAATTTAGGAGGAGACACAGCCAGGACAGGTGACCCCAACTGACCAAAGGGACATTCCAAACCTTATGACATCATGATCAGTGTATAAAGTGGGGAGAAGAAGGAGGAAGGGAGGGATATTTGGAGTAATGGTGTCTGTCTTCCTGAGAAACAGGAATGTGATGAAGCATGTGATGAAGCCCTGCTCTCCTGGGGATGGCTGAACATCTGCCAGCCATGGCAAGCAGGGAATTAATTCCTTGTTTTGCTTTGCTTTGCTATAAAGCTACCTTTATCCCAACCAGGGATTTTCTGCCTTTTACCCTTCCCATTCTCCCCCCAATCCTGCTGTTGGGGAGTGAGTGGTTGCTGGCTGGGGTTACACCAGGATGGTCAGCAGGCCATCTTCTCAGCTCACTCTTTCATGTATGTGCTTCCTTGAACCTTATTTTTCCATGAGTTTGCCATGGACTGTAGCACTCAGCCAAAGGGAGATCTGAACAACGTGAGGAGTTGCTAAGCCAACATGAGAATAAAGGCAATGTTGGATGAAGAAACTGAGCTACTTAGCATACACTGCCAAAAACAAATCTGGAAATTTAACTCAATATCCCATATCTCCCAGTTCATCCTAGTCTATCCCAGTCCATCCCAGAAGTTTCAGCTCCTCGTATTCCCTCCCAGAGCTCCTAGTCCATCTCAGTTTTTCCCAGTTCATCCTCATCCATCCAGGCAGTGGAAAGCTACCTTCTATTCTTGTGACCAGAGACAGGGTCTCTGGACCCTGGAAGTGGGATGAAGCTGAGTCAGGGAAGGTTTAGGGTGGATAGCAGGAAACCACCCCCAGAGGGTGGTTGGGCACTGAACAGGGAATTCCCATTTCCCCAGGGAACTGTCATAGCCCCAAGGCTGCCAGAGCTCCAGGAGCATTTGGACAATGCTGCCAGGCACAGGGTGGGATTGTTGGGGGATCCTGTGCAGGGCCAGGAACTGGGCTGGATGATCCTCTATTTGGAGCAGCCCAAAAGCGTAAGTATTTATCAACACAACAAGACAAAATGGATCATCTGCAAAACAATCTCAGTGACAGATATGTTACGCTGAGGAACATTCTCCATGATGAACTGTGTTGCAGGGGAATATTTATATGCAGCCAGAAAACCTCACAATATAAATTGTTTGGTTTTGTGCCAGAGGCAAACTAAAAGATTTACTTTAAAAATCTTACTTTTGTTTTCCTTCAATATAATGACGGATTTAAAATTCTAGTGGAGGAAAAAGCAGGTTTTGGTCTGTGTGCAGTTATGTGTTCCTGTTTTAATGTTTAATTGTGTGTGGAATGTATTCCTTGAAGAGCTACAGCTCTTTTCCTATTAAAAATAAAAAGTGAAATTAAAAAAAATTCAAAAAAGAAAGAAAGATAAAATTAAATCTCTTCTTTATTTTTCTGGACAGTTTATTTCCATATGAGTTACCTAACATGGCAAAGATCCAGCTCTGCATCTTCAGGTGGAAGGGCTTCTGGGCTGTGGAAACCTGGAAGTACCCTGCACTTGGGACAGCACCAGACAGCTTTTGGAAACAGTTCTCTGCTTCTCTGTGAATTAAACCACAGCCACTTTGCTCAGATCACAAGTATTCCAGTTATTAATTGATATTTTCCCTCAAGATGACACCTCCTCCAAACAGGTGTTTCTAACCATCAGCAATGCCAACTCAACCTGCACTTGGGGAGTACAACCAGAGATTTTCTTTCTTCTCCGTCCTGCTTTGTAGCTCCAGTGCTGAAATTCCCTGTCTTCATTGTGGTTGCACCTGGGTAATCCCAGTGATTTCACTGGACTTGCACAGAGCTGTAATAACTGACTGGAATTTAGTAAAAGATGCTCAGGGAAGAACAAAATCTAGGACTCCTCTCTAAGGTCTTACACTGCTAGCAACAAAAATAAGCTACAAAATTATATTTCCAATAGCAAAATCCAGAAATTCATCTCTAAGTATGCCCAGGAAGCTTCAAATAAGTAATTGCCATTTTTATAAGCACACATTTCTTAGTAGATTTCTGATTTCATTTTGGCTTCAGTACAAAAGCTTTAATTTGTGTAAAAACTGCACTGTCCAAATGAACACCTAGAAATATGGATTGGGGTATCAAATGCAGCTCTTTTGTATTTGTGTGACACCTAAAGCACTGTCTGTGCCCTGCAGGCTCAAGACAAGGCATAAAACAAGCTGCTTCTGAAATAAGGGGTCCCTATAGTGTTACTTTGGCCTTGAAATAAGTTTAAGACAAGGAGAAATGGATCCTTCAGAGCCATTTGCAAACTATGAGACAGAAAAGGCCTGCAGAATGTGCAGTTGTGAAAAATAATCAGTTCCAGGGTGATGACACAAAAAGAGGCACAATCAAGGACTGCATTCCTGGGATCATGCACTAGCCACAATGTTCATTGCAATTAAGAAAATTCGGCCGAGTTCATGGGATTCTTTCAGTCTGTATTAGGGACTCAAACTTTTTGAGGGATTGTATAAGCCTTCAGACTTCTGTGAGGAAAGAAAAAACTGCTGCCATGCTGAGCATCTGCAATGCCTGTGTTTATCCCTGTCTGAATCTAGAAGTTCTATTTTCACACTCCCACTGAAGCAAAAGAAAGCACTTTTGATTTAAAACCCATTAAAAGAGAACTTAATTTCTATTCTTCTCACTCAAGCAGCAATGGCATTTTAACAGTAAACATGGTTGTGTTTTGTGAGCAATATTCTGTCTCAGGACTGCACATGGAAAACAAACTGCCAAGGTTCATTTGGAGACACATGAAGAACTGCAAAACCTTTAATTAAAATTTTTTGCTGTCCTTGAAACATGCTGAGTAGCACAGACACACCATATCTGTCAGTGGAGCTTTCAGTGGACACACTCTAAATCTAAATTGTGGAAGCAATGCAGAACAGGGAGCTTTGAGAAGTGTGTGCAAGGCTCAGTACTGGGATCATGGAAATTAATAGATTTTGAGGCTAAGCAATGTTATTTTTAACCACCCAGTCTTAGTCTCCTTTGTAACCACATAACCTCCTTGAGAAGATTTTTGCTATAAGGATAATAAATGTGATTTAACTATTTAAAAAAAAAACCCCTCTAACCACAGCTTGAGCATTTCTGTGATGAACATTCAGTTACAAGCCTTATTAGGTCATTCAAATTGCTAATTACCTTAGCTGTTGAAAATGCATGGCTTATTTCCAAGCTGAATTTGCCTATCTGCATCCTTCACAGCCTTGTCACTTAGCTGCAAAATTGTCAGTTAAGAGCATCTACTGAGAGACTTCGGAGGTGGAGCTGTGGGTTCTTCTGAACTATGATCAGGCCACCTCG